AAAAATTCTAAAAAATAAACAATGGAAAAGTGGTGCGTGCATATCTATTCACCCCCTTTGCTATGAAGCCCCTAAATAAGATCTGGTGCAACCAATTACCTTCAGAAGTCACACAATTAGTTAGATTGCACACAGGTGGACTTTATTTAAGTGTCACATGCTCTGTAACTCAGTTGGTAGAGCATGGCACTTGCAACGCCAGGGTTGTGGGTTCGTTTCCCACGGGGGGCCAGTATGAAAAATGTATGCACTCACTAACTGTAAGTCGCTCTGGAGCGTCTGCTAAATGACTAAAATGTAAATATACACCTGTTCTGAAAGGCCCCAGTGTCTGCAACACCACTAAGCAAGGGGCAATACCAAGCAAGTGGCACCATGAAGACCAAGGAGCTCTCCAAACAGGTCAGGGACAAAGTTGTGGAGAAGTACAGATCAGGGTTGGGTTATAAAAAATATCAGAAACTTTGAACATCCCACGGAGTACCATTAAATCCATTATTAAAAAATGGAAAGAATATGGCACCACAACAAACCTGCCAAGAGAAGGCCGCCCACCAAAACTCATGGACCAGGCAAGGAGGGCATGAATCAGAGGGGCAACAAAGAGACCAAAGATAACCCTGAAGGAGCTGCAAAGCTCCACAGCGGAGATTGGAGTATCTGTCCATAGGACGACTTTAAGTCGTACACTCCACAGAGCTGGGCTTTATGGAAGAGTGGCCAGAAAAAAGCCATTGCTTAAAGAAAAAAATAGGCATGTGGGAGACTCCCCAAACATATGAAGAAGGTACTCTGGTCAGATGAGACTAAAATTGAGCTTTTTGGCCATCAAGGAAAACGCTATGTCTGGCGCAAACCCAACACCTCTCATCACCCGAGACCACCATCCCCACAGTGAAGCATGGTGGTGGCAGCATCATGCTGTGGGGATGTTTTTCATCGGCAGGGACTGGGAAACTGGTCAGAATTGAAGGAATGATGGATGGCGCTAAATACAGGGAAATTCTTGAGGGAAACCTGTTTCACTCTTCCAGAGATTTGAGACTGGGATGGAGGTTCACCTTCCAGCAGGACAATGACCCTAAGCATACTGCTAAAGCAACACTCGAGTGGTTTAAGGGGAAACATTTAAATGTCTTGGAATGGCCTAGTCAAAGCCCAGACCTCAATCCAATTGAGAAGCTGCGGTATGACTTAAAGATTGCTGTACACCAGCGGAACCCATCCAACTTGAAGGAGCTGGAGCAGTTTTGCCTTGAAGAAATGGCAAAGATCCCAGTGGCTAGATGTGCCAAGCTTACAGAGACATATCCCAAGAGACTTGCTGCTGTAATTTGCTGCAAAAGGTGGCTCTACAAATTATTGACTTTGGGGGGGTGAAAACTTGAGTGTGCATAACGATTGTTTTTTTGGTCTTATTTCTTGTTTGTTTGACAATAAAAAATGTTTTGCATCTTCAAAGTGGTAGGCATGTTGTGTAAATCAAATGATACAAACCCCCCCAAAATCCATTTTAATTCCAGGTTGTAAGGCAACAAAATAGGAAAAATGCCAAGGGGGGTGAATACTTTCGCAAGCCACTGTACAATTATCTGTAAGATCCTTCAGTCGAGCAGTGAATTTCAAATACAGATTCAACCACAAAGACCAGGGAGGTTTTCCAATGCCTCGCAAAGAAGGGCACCTATTGGTAGATGGATAAAAATGTAAAAGGAGATATTGAATATCCCTTTGAGCATGGTGAAGTTATTAATTACACTTTGAATAGTGTATCAATACACCCAGTCACAATAAAGATACAGGTGTCCTTCCTAGCTCAGTTGCTGGAGAGGAAGGAAACCACTCAGGGATTTCACCATGAGCCCAATGGTGTCTTTAAAACAGTTACAGAGTTTAGTGGCTGTTTTATATATATATATTTTTTGTCATTTAGCAGACGCTCTTATCCAGAGCGACTTACATGAGCAATTAGGGTTAAGTGCCTTGCTCAAGGGCACATCGACAGATTTTTCACCTAGTCGGCTCGGGGATTAGAACCAGCGACCTTTCGGTTACTGGCACAACGCTCTTACCCACTAAGCTACCTGCCGCTGTGATAGGAGAAAATGTAGGATGGATAAACAACATTGGAATTAATCCACAATGCTAACCTAATTGACAGAGTGAAAAAAGGGAAGCCTGTACAGAATAAGAATATTCCAAAACATGCATCCTGTTTGCAACAAGGCACTAAAGTAATACTGCAAAAAATTTGGCAAAGCAATTAACTTTTTGGGCCTGAATACAAAGTGTTATGTTTGGGGCAAATACAACACAATACTGAGTACCACTCTCCATATTTTCAAGCTTAGTGGTGGCTGCATCATGTTATAGGTATGCTTGTAATCGTTAAGGACTGAAGATCCTTTCAGGATACAAAATAAACTAAATGGAGCTAAGCACAGGCAAAATCCTAGAGGAAAACCTGGTTCATTCTGCTTTCCCCCACTGGGACACTGGGAGATGAATTCACACTTTCAGCAGGACAATAACCTAAAACACAAGGCTAAATCTACACTGAAGTTGCTTACCAAGAAGACAGTGAATGTTCCTGAGGGGCCGATTTACAGTTTTGCTTGAAAATCTATGGCAAGACCTGAAAATGGTTGTCTAGCAATGATCATCAACCAATTTGACAGAGCTTGAAGAATTTCTTAAATAATAATGAGCAAATATTGCACAATCCAGGTGTGGAAAGCTCTTACCCAGAAAGACTCACAGCTGAAATCGCTGCCAAAGGTGATTTTAACGTAGTGACTCAGTCGGTTGAATACTTATCTAATCAAGTTATATTATGTTATGTTTTATGATATGTTTTATTTTTCATACATTTTGTACAAATGTTAGAATTTTTCTTCCACTATGACATTACAGAGTATTTAGTGTAGATCGTTGGGAACAAAATACAATTAAATCAATTTTAATCCCACTTTGTAACACAATAAATTGTGGGAAAAGTCAAGGGGTTTGAGTACTTTCTGAAGGCACTTTAAAAAGCAAACCAAATTCCTTTGTAGAATTTGTAAGAAGCCATATCATATCTCTGTTAAAACGTTCAGTTCTAACAGCAGCATTAGGTAAAGCCACTGGAGCATGTTCAGATTGTTGGCCAATGCAGTCTGGCGTGCTACTGTTAGAACACTGACTATATGTGGCGGTCAGTCAAGTGGCCATTTTGTCCTGTTTAGGTCAAAAGAGATAATGGCAAATGGCCAACAGCGAGGGCACAAGGAGCATAGCCTGGTCTCTATTACGCAACAAATGACTCGTCTTTATGATTCTTGTTTGAGGTACTGTATTTGAAGGCATTACAAGCCCCTTGGAAGCACACAACTTTATTCAGATAAAATAAAAGCACACACTTAGAGGACGAAGAGAGAATTCAATGTTCCAAAGTGGTGTTGTCCATTTCAGGGTAAACATTTCTATTCCGTTTCGACATGGTTTCCATGTACATAACAACACATCACACACAATACAATTGGTGATTAAAAGCTGATGCAGGAGGGAGGTGGGTCTGTTTGTAAGAGAGTAGAGGAGAAGTAACGGTTTTAAACAAGGCTGTGTGGTGCTAGCTGGAGACCTCGTTTGGAGACTGGTGGAACAAACAGACAAGATTGGACATGATCTAATGTGCTATAGTGTCAGAACAGCAGGGCTGAGGACATTTTATCTCCTCACTCACGCACCAGCAGACACTCACTTACCCGTTCTGGGTTTCTGGGGATACATCTCAATAGTCTAAAGTGGTTTCCTTTCCTTGTCTCCTTTTCCTCAGTTACGCTTTAAGGGCACTTAAAGGAAAACTCCACCAAAAAACAATATTTTGGTATTTGTTTGGTATTAGTCCAGTGTTGATATAGTCCCAAAATACTTTACATGTCAGCAATCCAGTTTTCAAGATACAGTATATAACTTTCAAAATATAGAAATACAGCCGGTATGATGCATTTCTCCCATTGTCTCCTGTCCTCACTCACCACCAGGCACTCACGCACTCACTCTCTGTATGTATCTCAATCCACTAATTGTTTCCTCTCCTTGTCCCTTGTCCACACTCATACACCACTGTGCTCTCTCTCTCTCCTCTCTCTCTCTCTCTCTCTCTCTCTCTCAATTTCAAATCAATTTAAGGGCTTTATTGGCATGGGAAACATATGTTAACATTGCCAAAGCAAGTGAAGTAGATAGTAAACAAAAGTGAAATAAACAAAATTAACAGTAAACATTACACTCAGAAGTTCCAAAAGAATAAAGACATTTCAAATGTCATTATGTGTATACATACAGTGTTGTAACAATGTGCAAATAGTTAAAGTACAAATGGGAAAATAAATAAACATAAATATGGGTTGTATTTACAGTGGTGTTTGTTCTTCACTGGTTGCCGTCTTCTTGTGGCAACAGGTCACAAATCTTGCTGCTGTGATGGCACACTGTGGTATTTCACCCAGTAGATATGGGAGTTTATCAAAATTGGGTTTGTTTTCAAATGTTTTGTGGATCTGTGTAATGTGAGGGAAATATGTGTCTCTAATATGGTCATACATTTGGCAGGAGGTTAGGAAGTGCAGCTCAGCTTCCACCTCATTTTGTGGGCAGTGTGCACATAGTCTGTCTTCTCTTGAGAGCCAGGTCTGCCTACGGCGGCCTTTCTCAATAGCAAGGCTATGCTCACTGACTCTGTACATAGTCAAAGCTTTCCTTAAGTTTGGGTCAGTCACAGTGGTCAGGCTTTCTGCCACTGTGTACTCTCTGTTTAGGGCCAAATAGCATTCTAGTTTGCTCTGTTTTTTTGTTAATTCTTTCCAATGTGTCAAGTGTCTCTCTCTCTCTCTCTCTCTCTCTCTCTCTCTCTCTCTCTCTCTCTCTCTCTCTCTCTGTCTGTCGGGTCTGACTGCATCTCTCTCATTCTAGTAAGTTGTCCCTTCCCTTCTGCTCTCGTTCACTCCCCTTTGCAGATCTCAAATGAGACCGGGTAAGTGTTAAAGACAGACCTGTCAGTGCTGATGGAGGAAAGGAGATGTGCCGTGAAATAACACTGTCTACCTGTGAATCATAGACTGCCTGCTGAAATTGGCAAAAGCTTTTCATCACGATTTTACACTCCTCCCTCACAATTCACCAGTGTAGTGATATTGTGTTATTACAGAATTCCGCACTCTGTACTATCCACTGAGAATCAATCTTTACTCGCTGTCCTATTTAGCTGAGTGTGTCTTGCTTCATGAAGGCTTCCTTACAACCAAGAGAAATGAGAGAGTAGGGTGAAGAGATTAAATCGTGAGGGTGAGAAGGTAGAGGAGTGAAAGATGGAGAGAGTATTACAGTAAGAGAGTGAGAGTGAAGGAATGAGAATTAGGACGGAGAGAGATGGAATGAAGGGATGAGAGATTGAGGACAAAGAACCGAGGGAGTGAGGATAAGGTATTAAAGGAAATAATTGAGAGAGAGAGAGGGTGAGATGGTGAGAGGTTGAGATGGTGAGAGAGAGCGAGGGTGAGATGGTGAGAGGTTGAGATGGTGAGATAGAGAGAGGGTGAGGGATTGAAAGATTGATGAGAGGAACGAGGAAGAGGGTGAAAGGATGAGTGAATGTTCAGTGATGTTGAAATAGGTGTGTTTTAGGTGCACCAAGTCCAAACACCTGTATGCTGTACTAATTATAATTGTGCCTACATGTTATGCTCTCGCTCCTTTTCCTGTTAATCTCTCTATTAATCCCCACTGTGTAACCGCTGTCAACCTATAAACTTAACCCATTATATTTGTTGTTGTCTTACAGGAAGGGCCTTATATGGAACTTGTCAGACTTCTGAGTAATTCTAAGTGGGAGGAGAGGTTTTGTTCAGGCACTTTTACATCCTATGTCTGAATTAAACCCATATTATGATAATCAGATATGAATGAAATTAAGAGTAAGAGGACTATTCTTAGAGGTACTGATTTTTGCTTCCATATGCTTTTAGGTGACACATGTTTGCAATGGAAGTAATAACCCAGAGGAATATTGTGTGAGTTGAGTTGAATGGGTGGAAATCAACCTCTACCTCGTTACGCAACAACCCCATTTAATTATGCCAGCTAATTTGTGCCATGCAGTGGTATACATGTTGAAAGTTAGACTCAGTGTTCTCAACTCAGAGTTGAGGCTGTCCAAGCAAAGCTCCAAGGTGCAATTTAAGGGAATCCCAGTCCCAGGTCTCTGCTTTTCCAGCATCCTCTGCTTCCTTGTCACTTGATGAGCTCAACCAATCAGCAGTCTGGGTTCAGATGCCTTCGAAGGCATGACAACAGGGCTTGAGGTCACGGAGGCGGAAAGGTAGAAAAAATTGGAGAACAGATCAACTACAAGCTCACACACACACACAACGGTTCTTCAATCAATCAAATTTGATGTGTATATTTATTTTTGCAAATAATCTGAGCCTATAGATTCCCAACAAGCAAGCAGAGGCAACAGTGGCAAGGAAAAACCTCCAGAGGCACCAGGCTCAAGAGAGGGAGTCCATCCTCTTCTGGTTTGCCGGGCAAGGGGTTCTTACAAGCACATTGGCCAAGTTTCAAACAGACAGAAAGGGTGGACTTCAACCTTGAGCTCCTGGTATTCAGGATCTTCATCTCCATTGTGGGCATTGTGGGTAACGTAGTCCCGGTCCTGTCTTTGATATAGAACCAGATCTCCCATCTGAAAACCTTTTGAGGTGTTTCTCCTGAGCCTTGCTGCCTCCAACCTGGAAGAACTCCTTATCGTGAACATCTACAACGTCATCATGCTCCGTGTCCGTCCTCACTTCCTGGTCCTGCCGGACGCTCAAGTTCCTCATGGTGAGAGTACAGTGCATGTAGCAGCGGATGGCTAAAGTGCTACTGACTGCCCAAGACCTAGAAGTACTGTCATCCTGGATCTAGAAATTGCTTTTCTGACTGAGTGGTAGGCCATTGACAGTGCTTCTTGTTGTGTTACAGTGTGGAGGGTTATATGAGTTCGTGCCCTGTTCAGGCAGAATTTACACAGTCTCATACTCTCCAAATGTACTTATAAATCATTCCTGTTAGAAACAAGTTGACAGCAGCTGAGATAATTTTATAATGTGATAATGTATGGAACTATTTGTTTGGAATGTAGGTGTTCGGTGAAATCGGCAGCATCCTCTTCACATTTCTCATCAGCATCTTCCGGTACCAGAAGCGCCGAGATGCTGAGAAGAAGGGCAACTTGCCCGTCTTTCTGGACAACATCTGGTTGGCCTGGGCTGTAAGTGGGCTGTGTGTGATGCTAGCCATGCTCCTGGGAACTCCTACCTATCTCATGAATCTGGACGGTCATATGGATAACTATACGCATGACGGAGGCTGCCCTCCAGACTTCTTCCAGTGTCCCAAGGAGAACTGCCTGACCATTAACCTGGTCTACAAGTATATTTTCATTCTGCTCTGCAACCTGCTGCCTCTATTCATCGTCACCATCACCAGCTGTCTCATTGTAAAGGTCTGTAACCACCTTGGAGTCGGTAGAGGTTGCCCCTAACCACATCCCTCTAATAGTTAATAAGGTCAGTTTTGAGGGTAGAGTGATCTGATTCTAGATCTGTGGATAGGGGCAATGCTCTGTCAGTGACCACTTGTTTGCTAAGGGGTGTCAAGTTGACAGACACATTGTCTTGGTAAGTGTTTGTCTCCCCTCATTATGTATAGAAGTTTACTGAATGACTCAAATGTAAAATGTTGGTGCACCAGGTGCTGTTGGGGCAGAGAAGGGTGGTGGTTCCAGCGCTGAGTGCAGCAGAGGAGCTAGTGGAGCAGCCTCCCAGGAAGAAGGGCCTCTGCCTGGGCATCAATAGGAACACAGTGGGCATCCTGGATGCCATGGGGCTGTTCCAGGTGGAATGGATCCTCTACCTGGTCCTCCACCTGGCCTTCAGCCCCTACGACTTCCCCTTTTGGACCGAGGGGGAGTTCTTCATCACAACGTCCTATACCACAATCAGCCCTTATGTGTATGGGATAGGGAGTAACCCGTTTCCTGTGGAACACTTTAAGAAGTAATGGAAGAAAGTATTTTTAGGTGTTAGGTGTAAGCAATTTTCTGTGCAGTATGAGTATGGGATAAGGGAATAACTTGTTTTCTCTGAAACATTTAACAAAGTAATTGAGGTATAGTTATCAAACTCTGTGTTAGATGTAGGTGATTCTCTATTTTCTTGGAAGTCATTTTTAAAAAACAAAGCCCGGTTTTTAGACGTAAAAGACACAATTGAAAACACTTGCAACAGCGTTAGTGCAGCCTCACTATGATTATGCTTACACTACTTGGTACAGCAGCTCCCCAAGTTAATTAAAAACAAACTACAAATGGCACAGAATAAAATGGTAAGGGTGACACTGAATCTTAGCTCTCGGTCTCATGTGGGCCCTTCTCAACTCGGACAACTCAGAGTTGGAAAATACTATTTTACTTCAGTTAGGGACTATCATTCGTACAGCTCGAGAGGCAGTGTCAAAGACTTTGTGCCATGTCGATTTAAGAGTTGTAGAGCCTACTGGTCAGAACATGTTTTTATATATGGCAGTCAGTGGCGGTCAGTGCCGTTTAAGATGAGTGAGGATTATTTTTTTTTCATGAGCATGGCCTTATTTCTATTACAGCATATTGGATGACTCTCATTCATATTCCATTCACCCAGCTCAATGTAACAGCGATAGGTTTAGGCTACTACATGATACTCAAAATGTCCCTATACCCATCATGAGGTTGCTACATCCTAGCCTATGAATGAAAGTTTACAACGTACAGTTGAAGTCGGAAGTTTACATACACTTAGGTTGGAGTCATTAAAACTTGTTTTTCAACCACTCCACAAATTTCTTGTTAACAAACTATAGTTTTGGCAAGTGGGTTAGGACATCTACTTTGTGCATGACACAAGTAATTTTTCCAACAATTGTTTACGGACAGATTATTTCACTTATAATTCACTGTATCACAATTCCAGTGGGTCAGAAGTTTACATACACTAAGTTGAATGTGCCTTTAAACAGCTTGGACAATTCCAGAAAATGATGTCATGGCTTTAGAAGCTTCTGATAGGCTAATTGACATCATTTGAGTCAATTGGAGGTGTACCTGTGGATGTTTTTCAAGGCCTACCTTCAAACTCAGTGCCTCTTTGCTTGACATCATGGGAAAATCAAAAGAAATCAGCCAAGACCTCAGAATTTTTTTTTTAGACCTGCACAAGTCTGGTTCATCCTTGGGAGCTATTTCCAAACGCCTGAAGGTACCAAGTTCATCTGTACAAACAATAGTACGCAAGTATAAACACCATGGGACCACACAGCCGTCATACCGCTCAGGAAGGAGACGCGTTCTGTCTCCTAGAGATGACCGTACTTTGGTGGGAAAAGTGCAAATCAATCCCAGAAAAACAGCAAAGGATCTTGTGAAGATGCTGGAGGAAACAGGTCCAAAAGTATTTATATCCACAGTAAAACGAGTCCTATATCGATATAACCTGAAAGGCCGCTCAGCAAGGAAGAAGCCACTGCTCCAAAACCGCCATAAAAAAGACAGACTACGGTTTGCAACTGCACATGGGGACAAAGATCATACTTTTGGAGAAATGTCCTCTGGTCTGATTAAATGAAAATATAACTGTTTGGCCTTAATGACCATCGTTATATTTGGAGGAAAAAGGGGGACGCTTGAAAGCCGAAGAACATCATCCCAACCGTGAAGCACGGGGGTGGCAGCATCATGCTGTGGGGGTGCTTTGCTGCAGGAGGGACTGGTGCACTTCACAAAATAGATGGCATCATGAGGAAGGAAAATTATGTGGATATATTGAAGCAACATCTCAAGACATCAGTCAGGAAGATAAAGCTTGGTCGCAAATGGGTCTTCCAAATGGACAATGACCCCAAGCATACTTCCAAAGTTGTGGCAAAATGGCTTAAGGACAATAAAGTCAAGGTATCAAATCAAATCAAATCAAATTGTATTGGTCACATGCGCCGAATACAACAGGTGCAGACATTACAGTGAAATGCTTACTTACAGCCCTTAACCAACAGTGCATTTATTTTAAACAAAAAAGTAAGAATAAAACAACAACAAAAAAAGTGTTGAGAAAAAAAGAGCAGAAGTAAAATAAAGTGACAGTAGGGAGGCTATATATACAGTAAAATAAAGTGACAGTAGGGAGGCTATATATACAGGGGGGTACCGTTGCAGAGTCAATGTGCGGAGGCACCGGCTAGTTGAGGTAGTTGAGGTAATATGTACATGTGGGTAGAGTTAAAGCGACTATGCATAAATACTTACTTAACAGAGTAGCAGCAGCGTAAAAAGGATGGGGTGGGGGGGGCAGTGCAAATAGTCCGGGTAGCCATGATTAGCTGTTCAGGAGTCTTATGGCTTGGGGGTAGAAGCTGTTGAGAAGTCTTTTGGACCTAGACTTGGCACTCCGGTACCGCTTGCCGTGCGGTAGCAGAGAGAACAGTCTATGACTAGGGTGGCTGGAGTCTTTGACAATTTTGAGGGCCTTCCTCTGACACCGCCTGTTATAGAGGTCCTGGATGGCAGGGAGCTTTGCCCCAGTGATGTACTGGGCCGTACGCACTACCCTCTGTAGTGCCTTGCGGTCAGAGGCCAAGCAGTTGCCATACCAGGCGGTGATGCAACCAGTCAGGATGCTCTCGATGGTGCAGCTGTAGAATTTTTTGAGGATCTGAGGACCCATGCCAAATCTTTTTAGTCTCCTGAGGGGGAATAGGCTTTGTCGTGCCCTCTTCACGACTGTCTTGGTGTGTTTGGACCATGATAGTTCGTTGGTGATGTGGACACCAAGGAACTTGAAGCTCTCAACCTGTTCCACTACAGCCCCGTCGATGAGAATGGGGGCGTGCTCAGTCCTCTTTTTTTTCCTGTAGTCCACAATCATCTCCTTTGTCTTGGTCACGTTGAGGGAGAGGTTGTTGTCCTGGCACCACACGGCCAGATCTCTGACCTCCTCCCTATAGGCTGTCTCATCGTTGTCGGTGATCAGGCCTACCACTGTTGTGTCGTCGGCAAACTTAATGATGGTGTTGGAGTCGTGCCTGGCCATGCAGTCATGGGTGAACAGAGAGTACAGGAGGGGACTGAGCACGCACCCCTGAGGGGCCCCCGTGTTGAGGATCAGTGTGGCAGATGTGTTGTTACCTACCCTTACCACCTGGGGGCGGCCCGTCAGGAAGTCCAGGATCCAGTTGCAGAGGGAGGTGTTTAGTCCCAGGATCCTTAGCTTAGTGATGAGCTTAGAGGGCACTATGGTGTTGAATGCTGAGCTGTAGTCAATGAATAGCATTCTCACGTAGGTGTTCCTCTTGTCCAGGTGGGAAAGGGCAGTGTGGAGTGCGATAGAGATTGCATCATCTGTGGATCTGTTGGGGCGGTATGCAAATTGGAGTGGGTCTAGGGTTTCTGGGACTATGCTGTTGATGTGAGCCATGACCAGTCTTTCAAAGCACTTCATGGCTACAGACGTCAGTGCTACGGGTCGGTAGTCATTTAGGCAGGTTATCTTAGAGTTCTTGGGCACGGGGACTATGGTGGTCTGCTTGAAACATGTTGGTATTACAGACTCAGTCAGGGACATGTTGAAAATGTCAGTGAAGACACTTGCCAGTTGGTCAGCACATGCTCGGAGTACACGTCCTGGTAATCCGTCTGGCCCTATTGGAGTGGCCATCACAAAGCCCTGACCTCAATCCTATAGAACATTTGTGGTCAGAACTGAAAAGCATGTGCGAGCAAGGAGGCCTACAAACCTGACTCAGTTACACCAGCTCTGTCAGGAGGAATGGGTCAAAATTCACCCAACTTATTGTGGGAAGCTTGTGGAAGGCTACCCGAAACGTTTGACCCAAGTTAAACAATTTAAAGGCAATGCTAACAAATACTAATTGAGTGTAGGTAAACTTCTGACCCACTGGGAATGTGATGAAAGAAATAAAAGCTTAAATAAATAATTCTCTCTACTATTATTCTGACATTTCACATTCTTAAAATAAAGTGGTGATCCTAACTGACCTAAGACAGGGAATCTTTACTAGGATTAAATGTCAGGAATTGTGAAAAACTGAGTTTAAATGTATTTGGCTAAGGTGTATGTAAACTTCCGACTTCAACTGTAGGTGCACACAGGTCGAGAGACAAATTTGAGGTGACAGACAGTGACACATGGACAGACAGTGACATTCAATACCGCCTTGCCTGCATCTAGCTAATATAGGGTGTAATCATTAGGCCAACAGTTGCAAACGAGGGTTTCTATTGGACAAATTCAGGTATGTTTATCCCCGTTTTGTTCCATTTGCTTCTGTTTAAGAAAAGTTTTTTAACAGAATCTGCGGAATGAATACACCCCATATCACGAGTAAACACAGTTCACTTTCATAGCAGCCACGTTGTATTCCTTCTTGCATCTATGCGCTCTCCTCCTCTCACCTTTTCCCTTCACTTGTGGACTTCAATGCACAACACATCAGCTGTATGTGACCAGGCGAAAAAACCTTTCCAAGCCAAACCGTTACACACAGCCTACATCGTTGTCACCATATTAGCTAAAGTAACGTCATAGTCAGCATAGCTAATAGAACTAACGCATTAGTAAACCCGCTACAATCATACAGTAACGTTAGTGCACAGTCAGTAAGCAGTTATACCAGCGGGCCCCGGTGGCAATAAATTAGTAATACCAAAAGCTTACCTTGACTTGGAAGAGTTCCAGTGTTGTGTTGGAAAGTCATAGCCAGCTAGCTAACATAGCATCCCTCTGTTCGAGCAGGGTGTTTCAGTAGGCTAAACTAGCTAGCTGCATTTGCTAGCTAAGTAAATCTGAAAAAAAGACAATCTCTCTCTCTCTCTCTCTCTCTCTCTATTTCTCTCTTGCTTCTCCTTCATATTGGAAGAAATTAATTGTCTTTCTCTCTCTTTGAGCCAACTACACGCCACATTTTATACACTGCAGTGCTAGCGAGCTTTATCTTATGCTTTCAGTACGAGA